CCCCCCAAGAAGTACGGGGGAGGAAAGACAGCAGCCGCCAAATATCATCGTGGCCACACGCCCTCCGAGGCGTCGTCGCCCGGAGTAACCCCTACCCCGTCATCCCACTCCTGATCTGCTGACCCCGCGGGGGCGTGCGCAAACACGGGCTGCTGATGGTGGGGGGGGGGTAGGAGTTCCTCCGCTTCCGCGTACTCGGGCGGCGGCTGTCTCTCACCCCGACCGCCGCTGCCGCGCCTCCCCCCTCCTACGGCGACGTCCCCCAGCGCCTCCTCGCCACTGCCGCCTTCCCACGCACGATCGCCTAGCGCTTGATGCCCTGGTGCTCCCTGGTGTTGGTGCTGCTGCTGCTGCTGCTGCCACCCCCCGAGCATGTCGTCATCCACCACCCCCATCCCCTCGCTGGCTGGCGGTCGCTCCGCGAAGGTCTCTTCCGCCGCCGCCTCCTCGGGGTAATTCCTGCCGTGCCCCACCGAATCACCGTCTTCCTCGCCGTGCGAAACGCCCCCAGAGGGGAGCTCCAGCTGAGCTGGCTGTTGATGGTCGTACCGCGTCACTTCGACCGGGGGTTGTTGCTGGTGTCGGTGCTCGTCGTAGGGGCCATTCCCTCTCTCCGCTTGTGCGACCGCCAAGGGAGCTCCGCTCCCGGTCAGCCCCCCGCCGTCACCGCTGGCGTAGCCCTCCTGTTGATCGCCGTACGGCTGCTGCCCCTCCGCTTCGTGGTACGGCTCGACGACACCCCCGACGGCGTCGTTGTCTTCGGCCGCGGGGTAGCCCATGTCCTCGCCCTTGTAGTGCTGCTGGGGAGGCTCGACCACGAGGCCGCCACCGCTCTCTGCGCCGCTGCTGCCGCCGCCGCCGCCGGCGTGCTCCACCCCAGGCTCCCCCGTGACTACGATGTCCGGCGGGAAGACGCTGTTGCTGCCGGCATGGTGGTGGTTGTGCGGGTGGTGTCCGAGCAGAACGACCGGGGGCTGGTTAGGTGGCGGCGGCCCTCGCCCCCCGTGAGGAATGTGCTGCTGTGGCGGCGGGCGTTGTCGTTGTTGTTGCTGCTGCTGCTGCTGCTGCTGCTGCTGCTGCCGAGAGATCTCTACCATCCGAGGGCCGGGCGGGGACGGCGACGCGGAAGGGTGTCCGTGGTGCAGAACCTCACCACCGCCGGCCGGAAAGCCGACCACCTGCTGCTGCTGCTGCTGCTGCTGCTGTTGCTGCTGCAGCAGCACCTGGTGAGGTGGCCGTGGTGACTGCTGGTGCTGCTGGTGATGAGGCGGCGGTAGCGTAACCTGGTGGTGTAGTGGTGGCGGCGGCGAGGACCGCTGCTGCTGCTGCTGCTGCTGCTGCTGCTGCCGCGGTGGTTGCCGCTGCTGCTGCTGCTGGATAACCACGACGTTCGGCAGCCCGAGCCGCCCTCCCGCGCCATGGTGCTGTGCATTCACACCGGGATGCAGGCGGGGAGACCTGGCCTGCGGGTGATGAGGCTGTTGCTGCTGCTGGTGGACGACGATACCTGGGCCCGTCCCCGCCGGGAGCATGTGACCGTGCTGACCATGCCCCACCGGTCCCGCGTGGAGTGGCGGCGCGTCCAAGCTAGGACCCCCCATTCGCGGCCCGGGTGGTTGTTGTGGCTGTTGTTGTGGTTGCGGTTGCTGGAGATGGGGCTGAAAAGCGGCGGCATGCTGCGGGAGCCGTGGCGGGTTGTTGACCTGTACTTGCTGCTGCTGCTGCTGGGGGGGGGGCGGGTGGAGATGAACAGGAGGACGGTGATGGGGATGGGGGTTCATCGACGGTGCCGCACTAGCACCCGTTACGGCCGGCAGTATCCCGACGCCACCGACAGCAACCGCGCCTTTGCCATCAGCGGTGACGACAGCGGCTGCGGCATCACCGGGGTTACCACCGGGAGTGGTCACCGCCTGGTCAGCACCGTCAGGCGGCTGCTTCTGTCGGCGCTGCCGCGCCAGCTCGTCACGCAAGCCCTGCTGGAGCTGCTGATGTGCTGCTTCCTGCCCGGTAAGCCGCGGTGACTCGCGCTGCTCAACCTGATCCTGTTGCTCCGGCCGCACAGCAGCAGCAGCCGCAGCAGCGGCATCAGGTTTGCTTTCCTCTGGTTCAGGCTCGGGCTCCGGGCTGCTTTCGTCCATGTCCATGTCAACCGATTCCTCCTCCTCCTGCTCCTCCTTCTTCCCCTTCGCCGCCGAGGTTGCCGCCGCCGCCGCCGCCGTCCCGCCGCCCTCCGCCTTGACTACCGCAGCAGCGGCTGCGGCCGTTGTTGCGGCAGTCGGCACGGGCAGCACAACCACGGCCGCTGCCGCTCCTGACGACGACGGCGACGCGGCTACGGTGGTGGTAGCGACAGCGGCAGCACCGCCGCCTACCCCCGTCGCGCCTGCCCCGCCGCGGGCCTCCTTCTTCCGCCGCGACGACGACAAGGAGGAAGAAGAAGACGAAGCCCCCGAGGCCTTCTGCCGCCCGCCGCTACCGCCGCCGCCGCCTCCGCCTCCGCCGGCGGCGGCGGCCTGGCCTTTGCTCGAGCGCCTGCCGCTGCGGGAGCGCTCGGGGGTCTTGGCGGCATGCGGACTTTTCTTGGCACTTCCGCTTTCGCCGCCTCCCCCTCCCCCTGCCCTCCCCATCGCCGACCAAGAAGAAGCCCTCGACTGCTGGGAACCAGGCATGCCGTAGCGCGAGTTGCTGGTGGTCTGCTCCGACCCCCGAGGTATCATGAATGTCTGGCACGGCGCTATCTCTCCGAGGTCCCGCGCGCACTGCACGAGGCGGTCCGTGAACGGAAGCAGGCCCGGCTTGCTGGCTCCGAACAGCATCGGCCAGGTCTCCAGGGCGCTCGTGCGTACGTCTCCGAGGGGGTCGTCGGTTGGTACAGGGCCCTACGTGCAAAGATTGGTAGATTGTCATACGTTGAACACAAACGACGAGGCAAACAGGGTAGATTATTGGCGGAGGAAGAGGACACGAGAGAGCGCAACGAAACGAGGGAATCTGTGTGTGATCGAACAGGGCGTATTCGACGAGTATTGTCGGCGAAAGCGTCAAAGCGGGGAGCAAATCGCGCGATGGTCTAGCAGACAGGTCAAAGAGTGCCGAGGCCGGCAGTTCTGGGGGGGGGAAGTGGAGCCGTGAACGGCCAAGAGGTAGGTAGGTCCCTGACAACACAAAACGCGGCGCGAGCCGGCCGAGCTTTGCCTATCTCTCTGTCTGCGTAGGTGTTACGCTGCATGCATCGCAGATCCTGCTCGAAGGCACCACGGAAACATAACCCAACACAAATAGAACAACGCTACCCTCTCGCCCACCCCAACCGAGATTCCAATCCCGCCCTTTCAAGGGACACGCAAAATATAACAATATAACTGAAACCTCTCCGCCTCCTATGTATACACCGATTGTTGTCAAGAGGGAACAGCAGCAGTGTGGACCTGCTCGAGAGAGGACCAGAAACCCGGCAAATCGGCTTTGGCCATCACACTTTCGCCGATCACCACTGAACTATACTGCCGAACTCTCGTCGAGACAGATGGGATATGCCTACGCGTCCATCCGTTGCAAACGGAGAAGTAAAGAAGAAAGAAAATAGATTGAAAAAATTGACCGAGAGAAAGAAAGCCAAGACATGAATAAAACAAACAGCAGCGCCAAGCAACCAAAACATACAAGTACATATATCAGCAGCAAAGAATTAAGAGCGTAAAACAGGAGGGAGACGGGACAAACACCCCGAAGAAACAAACACCCCCCCCCAAAAAAATAAAAA